AAAAAAAAAAAAAAAAAAAAAAAAAAAAAAAAAAAAAAAAAAAAAAAAAAAAAAAAAAAAAAAAAAAAAAAGAAGAAAGAAAAATGTTGTCCTTCTGAAGAGCTGGGTTAAATAAGATATCAGAGGGGAGTCTGCTATTGATAAAAATCCCAAGTTTAAAATCATTTCATGGACAAAAGGATTTAGGTGTCTGATTCTGACCTCTTTTTTTTTCCAATCAAATCTTGGCCAGCTGCAGTGGCTCACGTGTGTAATCCCAGCACTTCAGAAGGCCAACACAGGAGGATCACTTGAGGCCAGGAGTTCAAGACTAGCCTGGGCAACTTAGCAAAACCAACTCTACAAAAAATTACAGGTGTGGTGGCACAGTCTATAGTCCCAGTCACTAGAGAGGATGTTGAGGCTGCAATGAGCCATGACTGTGCCACCTCACTCTAGGCTGGGCAACAGAGTGAGACTCTGTCTCTTAAAAAGAAAAAAATATATATCAAATCTTCCTAAAGCAAAGAACACTTGTGTGGTAGGCATTAAAAAGCCTAACGAGCACAGCTTCTAAACAGCAGTATACTCTTTCTCTGTGTACACAGCCAATTTCCATACAAACTTGAAAAATATAATGTTTATGCTCTAGAAAGCAAAAATATTCAAATGAATATTAACAACTAACGGGATGTACATATGAATTACCTCTCAAAAAGCTGTAGACGCAACTTGCATCACTTTCAATTGCTAAAAAATTATTCAATCAATACTTTACAAAGAAAAGGAATCTAGAAAAAAACAGTAAAACAAAGTAAGAACATAAAATATCTACCCATAATGCCTGGAAATGCTAGGCGAGGTAGTTTCTTTTGCACTGGAAGCACCCGTGAAATCCACATCTGAGGTATTGGATGAATGTGCAGTACCCTCAGTTCTCCTTAGACAAAAGAATTTAAATGGTTTAACAACTATATTACATAACAAATAAAATTTTAATACCCACTCAAAAGAAAAAACCTAGAAAAGAAGAAAATAACTTTCTATTTACCCTATTGAACAAGGTAAATCCAAAGTAGGATTCTCTGAAACTGATTCCTTATCCTGGAAAATAAAAATATATACTTAAAGCATGTCTCTAAAGTAAGCTGAAAAAATACTAGCTTCTCAGTAATTTCATGTATCCTTCTTCTTGAGAACATATACCAGCATATCCTCTTACCAAAAGTGGCTCAGCAGTTTTTTGAATCATTTTTCTTGTATATGGGCCAGGTGGACGACCTACAGATTTTTTCTTTCCTTTTTTTTCTATGCCATTGCTTACTTCCCTGAAATGGAAAACCATTATGCATTTAATCTCTGCATAAAGAAAACAAAGACAATGATTCTATGTATGCAACTAGACATATACATTTTATTATTTTATATTAATGGTAATATAAAAAATAAATATAAGTTGAATCCACAAGTTTAGTTAAGTGCATAGATAATATATTCTAATTTAAATAAATATTTCTTGACTTTAAAGATATTTATATTACAAAAGGTTTTTTAAAAAGTCCTCTTTAATGTAATTCTGAACAATATATACCACCTAAAGACTTAAAAACAACAACAAAAACCAGACAATTATACTGGATGGAAGACTTCAAAACTCCTAAAAGCTCGATTATATAGTTTAAGGGTTGTTACAACTTGGAGGATGTTTCAAGGATTTACTACTAAAAATGACTATGAATTTAGCAGTTAACCTTATAGAGTCAAGAAGTATCGATGTTAAAATTGTAGTAGCTATCAATAAATGCTGCCTTCAGATATAAATGTAGATTCTTGATATATATGTAGATTCTTGAGTTACACTATCAGAAAGAAAATGAAGCCCAGAGTGGCAGAACGTAAAGGAGAAAGGAGTAAGAAATCCTTCATATTCTAAGGGAATCATTCAAAGGGAAAAATCAGAAAAACCTAGAAAACCATTTTTGAAACATAAAGTCAAATACTAAGGAGTAGGTAGGAAAAATGTGCCATAGGCAAAGACACTCTAATAGAAAAAAAAAGAAAAAACATATATGGAAAGAATACTTCATCTATTCAACAGTAGCTACCATAAAAAGATGACATTAGATAATATGGATACGAAGGTGTTCCCTGTGCTAAAGTGTTCACAATATAGTTAGAAAGTGACAAATGTGTACACAAGCAAGCTAATAAAATGGAGTGAGGGCTATGAGGAAATTGTCCAGGAGAATTCAACTAAGAAAAGAAAAAAGAACACTATAATAGGCTAGAAAGAGATGAATGGAGAAAGTAGGAAAAAAACTTATCCCAGGCTAAACACGGTTAGTGAGACAGAAGTATGAGGAAGGAGAAAGTAGGGAAACTAAAAGGAGAAAGCAGAACTAGACGCTATAATCAAAAGTCTCAAGAATAAGATGGATGGGATATCCAATTCTTTTATAAAATGATCAACATAGTATTTATAAAGGACTCCTAGACTAAAGAAAGTAATCGCAGAGTAAAAGGACCAACTTATACACAAGGTCCAGAGGGAACTGAGGATGCCTTTAAAGAAAGCAGCTGAATCCTTATCTGGTGGCATCAGACGACCTGAGAGCCACCACAGAGGGAACATCCTATCGCAATCATGATAGAAATGAAAAAGCTTGTGGAATTCTTTTTTCTGATTCATAATATGGCCAACTGGCTAGCAAAGGATTTGAGTGACAAAATCTGAAAGTGATAGGAATAAAAAGCATTCTTTCCTTCAGGAAAGAAAACTTAAATAGTAGCTACTTTCTTACAAACTTCATTGTCAAGGCTTTGTAATTACATTCTCCTTATCTCCAAGATGACTATTCCATACCTTTAATTTACCCTTAAATTCCCCTCTCTGAACAGTCCTCTTATCTATCTCTGCCTTATATTTCATGGAGAAAATAAAGGCTACCAGTAAAGAACTTCCAACTGCCCAATCTATAATAGAACTACCATCTGTACCCATTTTCTCTTTCACCCCATTTCAACAGAAGGATGTTTCTCCTTCTAGAAAAGGACAGTCCCACCTTTAGGTTCTACATCCCTTCTCTTGGCTTCTACTCTCCTACACTAATTTCCTCTTCTCCACTGGATCGTTCCTAACACACAAAAACAGGTTTCAACTATCTCCCACCTATTTTTAAAAACCATCATTTGACTAGTCCCATCCTCCTCTTCAGCTGCCATTCCATTTGTCTGCCTCCCTACATAGGAAAACTTCTGGGTGTTAATGACATATACCCTTTCCATTTTCTCCCCTCTCATTCAAAATTCTTCAAGATAGTTTCCTATTTTCCTCCTTTCCTTTACTACTGTTATTATTTTGAATCTGCCTGTGTCCCTCATACGTAGAAACCCAGTTTGACATGTAAATTGGGCAATGCTGGATTCAGTCATACTTCCATCCAGTCCTATCTGGTTTCTATCTGAACTACTTCAAAGAAATTCCTTTTGTCAAGGTCACTAACAAAATGTTACCTTAGGCAATAAATACTTATGTCTCATTTTAATCTACCTCTCATTAGCATTCAATACACTTTAATATACCTATCTTTCTTGAAACACTCCCTTTGTTTTGGTTGTCATGACACCAAACTTCCTGGTTTCCTCCCATCTCATTGATCATTTTTTTTAGTCTCCTTGGCTTATTTCACCTCTTCCCAATTTATAAGTGATATCAGAACATGATCCCAGATCACCTTCTCTTCTCTCTCTACTTGCTCCCTTGGTAATTTTACTCATCCTCATGGCTTTATCAATCAGTTTACAAATTTGTATTGCCTGCCCAGACCTCTCCTAGGAGCTCCTGAATTACACATCCAATTGTCTATATTTCACATCATTCTGTGTGTATGGTGTGTGTGAGAGAGAGAGAGAGAGAGAGAGTGAGTGAGTGTGTGTGTGTGTGTGTGTGTGTGTGTGTGTGTATCCCTCATAAGAATCTCAAATTCAATGAATATGAAACAGAAGAATCCTTCATTTACCATACCAAAATCTGTTCTTCCAGATCTTGGTTAACAGACACCACCACCCACCAGTTGCTCAAGGCAGAAATCTGGGTATTATTTGATTTTTTCCTGTACTTTCAGAAATTTAACTCACTAGCAAATCCAATTAATTCTACCTCCAATAAAGATCTCAAATCTGTTTTCTCTCCATTTGAATGTTACCACCTACCTCTGCACAAGCCCTCATATCATCTATCTCTCACCTAGACAACTGAGTCTTAATTTTCTCCTGCTTTTATTCTTACTCAAGAATTTTTTTTTTTTTTTTTGGATGGAGTCTTGCTCTGTTGCCCAGGCTGGAGTGCAGTTGTATGATCTCAGCTCACTGCAATCTCTGCCTCCCAGGTTCAAGCGATTTTCCTGCCTCAGCCTCCGGAGTAGCTGGGACTACAATTGCACGCCACCATGCCCAGCTAACTTTTGTAATTTTAGTAGAGACAGGGTTTCACCATATTTGGTCAGGCTGGTCTCGAACTCCTGACCTCAGGTGATCCACCCGACTGCCTCGGCCTCCCAAAGTGCTGGAAATATAGGCATGAGCCACTGCGCCTGGCCAAGTATTTTAAAAAGATAACTAAATCCCTTAAATGCCTCCCCATTATTCTTAGAAATCAACCCAAACTCCTTTTAAGACCTACAAGACCCTACAAAGGATCAAGCCCCACCTAATCTTACCAGTACCTGATGCTACTCTCTCATCCTCATATATACCACACCAGTCTCCGTTGAGTTCCTAAAATATGTTTCAAACCCTTTGCACTTATTATTTCTGCTAGATGGAGTAGTTTTTCCCTTTGTTTTTTACACTGTTGAATCATTCGTATTAAGTCTCAATTTAAATATTAACTTAAATAGTCCTTCCTTAAGCCTCATTGTTAAAGTACAAAGGTCCCATCTCTATGTATAGTAAAGTCTAAAACAATATGCTATCCTAGCATAATCTATAATTATTTTACTTGTTTTATCACCTTTGTTCCCCAACAGAATGTAAACCCCATCAGGGCAGAAGGAAAATTTGTCATTGTACTCCCTAGCACTTAGATAATAAGGCACTTGAAAACTGTACTGAATGAATGAATGAATAAATGAATGAATGAATGAAAAGTGAACAAACAGGCTAGCACTTAAGCTGTTTGCTAACAAAAATCAATAGAGTCTATTCCTGGAAATCCAAAGACCTAACATAACAAACAAGCATCTGGCATCAACTCTTTGTACCTTGTCTAAGCAAGATATTATAGACCAAAAAAAAAAAAAAAAAAAAAAAAAAAAAAAAAAAAAAAAAATTCAGAGTAACTGCCACTTGTATTTTCAAATATACTAAGGAGACTAAATAACATACATTTTTAGTTACAAATAAGCTAAAGAGAAAAACTAAGCCACAGATCAACTTTTACCTTGAATCAGATATAGGTTTGGATGCCTTTCTGCCTTTAATTTTAAATTCATGAGATGTTCCTTCAGGTTCTTTCTCTGCTTTGAAAGCCACATTTGGTGGCACAGGAGGAACACGAATTCGCAACCCAAACAAATGCTTCTTCTTCTTTATTTCTTTCCCAGACATAAACCTAAATTTTTAAAAAAATTAACTAAAATTTTAAAAACTGAACACATACACACAGTAGACCCTAACTTATAACTTTATAAGGCCCTTATACTTGAAAGCCCACCCAATACTACAAAAATTCATTTCCCCTTTCTCTCCTTGATTCTTATCTGCTCCAGAGCCAGTCTACAGTAGGATATGATGGGGAGAATGGGATAGGACTGGAAAGGAAAAGAGCACATGTCCGATTTTCTCTTTAAACATGGCAACTAATTTTTTAAAGGAAGAAAGAACAAAGAATGGTATATTTTTAGTCCCAATATGCTTCCCCATATTTAGTATCATCTGTTAGAAATATCTCAAAGGGGGGTTTAGGAAAAAAAAGAATTCTATCTCAAAGTGGATTTATAAGGAGAGAAACCTTAGTCAGAAATAATAGGTGATAGCATTGGAAAAGAAAGTAGGAGGTAAATCCTAGAGGCCCATCTGGAGTGCCAGATCCAGAAATGGAAATAAACCCAGGCAAAGGGTTATGTTAGTGCGTTGTGGACTTGGGCCTCTGAAAAATAAGCTCCTTGGGCCTTTCTTTTAAGTCTTTATGGTCCTTATTCCCAAGCACCTCCATTTACCTCAGCTCTACTAAAACTTGCCTGGCCACAAGAACCTCCATCAATTGTTTAGAATGTTCTATACCTTTTTTTTTTTTTTTTTAGACATAGTCTCGCTCTGTCGCCCAGGCTGGAGTGCAGTGGCGCAATTCTAGGTTCACTGCAACTTCTGCCTCCCAGGTTCAAATGATTCTCCTGCTTCAGCCTCCTGAGTAGCTGGGACTACAGACACACACCACCATGCCTGGCTATTTTCCTATTTTTAGTAGAGACAGGGTTTCACCATGTTAGCCAGGATGGTCTCAAACTCCTAACCTCAGGTGATCTGTCCACCTCGGCCTCCCAAAGTGCTGGGATTACAGGCATGGGCCATGGCACCCAGCCAGAATGTTCTACGTTTTGGCAGTTTTGAGAAGGGGGAGCCCCCATTTCTACCATAACAGGAACAGAGGTATTTCTGGCACCGTAAGTTGAAATTCAGAATTCACTGTCCCATGAAATATTTTTACCTGCATAATAATGTTCAGGTACCTCATGACTTTTTGAGCTGGACTGAAGATCTAGCCACTAGTAATTACGTTATTTAATGAGGAAATACTGTCAAATTCAAAACAGCAACTTACTGCAAACAAAAATTTTATAACATAATTCAATACTTTACTGGAGTCAACACATATATTTAAAAAATTTGTTGCATTTAAAAAATGTTTCTAAGAAATGTAAATATATTGTTTTAAAAAGAGGGGAATCCTAGTTATAGTGCTGAGTTTAAAAAAAAGTAAAAATAATGGGGGAGAGATCTGTAGATCTGTATGAGAACATATCAAATAATAGCACTTAATTATCTTAGACCACTCAGCTAGAAATATTTTCTATAACTAATGGCAGTAACTAATAACCATAGATCTCAATCATTTTAAAAACCCATATTCCTTACAATATTCTCTCCAGCTAACAATATTCCCATCAGCTAACAAGATTTTATTTTACTTTCAGTAGATTACATTATATAAGGAAGTTATTATTGAATATGCTTTTTCAGTGGAACAAGCTAAACTCTCCCCAAGATACTAATATGCCTCCCACCTACCATTCCCAGGAGAAGGATTACTCTCCCTTCTCCAATCCTTAAGAATCACTACTTTAATCTAACTAAAATAGAATAGGACATTAAAAAGTTTAAAATGGTATGTACTTGTTCTATACACCAATCCCAAATTCTTAAACAATGCCATTATTCCTTATACTTACTAAATGTCTCCCTCATAGGGATACATAAAATAAATCAACTTACATGGTCTTGTAATCATTTAATGCCTCCAGAACATGCTCATATCTTTCAGATTTTGGTGTGTCTGCCAGCTGTGAAGTATCAAGAAACAATTTAACGCACTACAATTTCATCAATTAGTAATATACAGGTGCTAGATAGAGGCAATGTGATGCAGAGGAAAACTGTACTGATTGGTAGTCAGATCTAAGTTCTAATTCCAAGTCCTCACTGGCTAATCATATGACCTATGGCCATTTAACCTCTCAAGGCTTATTTTCTCATCTATAAAAAGGCAAGTATAAATCCTACACTGATCACTTGTTCATATATTAATCCAATGATATGTTTATGAAGAAACTATAAACTGTAAAACACTACAAAAATGGGATTGTATTAGTTATTAATTTTTTTAAAAAAATTCTGTAACCTGGGGAAATACATTAGATTTTAATATTTACTGTAAAAGTTCCTAACAGATATAAATAGGAAGGAGTACAAAAAGTAGTAAGAAACATGTCATTTCCCAGTATCTCTAGAATTTGCATAAACCAATAATCTCTATAATTTTTTAGAATACTATAAAATTGAGAGATTTTATTTTCCTAACAATTATAGACTTTAGCCAGCTCTAAATGGCTCAGAAATTTTTCATCATAACAAAACATTTTAAAATCTAAATATTTAATTTTAGAAAAAAAGCCATTTTGTTCCAATAGGGCTTTTACTCAGAGACCTTTCTGCCTCTTCTTGACTAGGGCCCATTAGCAAAAAAAATCTAAATTTTAAAAGGACCATCCTGAATTAATGCTATGAAGACCTTAAAAAAAAAATGCTGCTTCCAAAATATCACAATTGACTTTCAAAATTACAGCCAATATGTTCTTTACCAGTTGAAACTCCCAAGCCTCAGAACTGCTTTTAAGTGAGAAAAAAAAAACAAATCTGCCAAATAGAATGCTGGAGCTAAAAAAAAAAACTTGTAAGTCATCTACTCCAACTCTATTTTACACGAGTTAACAAACGTAAAGGTTAAAACTGCTAAAATTCACCTATCTAGTTGGTCAGAGAACTAGAACCTTAAGTCAAGTGTTAAGTCCATTAATTCTCCATTCACTGAGAGCCCACTGTGTGCCAATATGCTGAGTGCTTAAAAAACATGTGAAATAGGAGTTAAGTACTCATTCCTCTATATCCAACCTTTCACTGTAATTTCTGAAGAGCCCAATGATAGAGAATTTCTATTTTAAAGGAGGAGTAATAGAATCCAACTTTAAAGCTTGAATGAGACCCTAGATCCATTTCAGCCTTCCACTAACATTGCAATGTCTTCTACAGTAGAGATATTTCTTCAACCTTGACTTAATTACTGCCGCTGACAAAAGCTGATAAGGTACTGACTAAAGAAGCCCATTCCATAGGTGGGCAAAACGTTCCTCCCTGGAGCTCTTCCACTCCTCTTTTATAAGACAGCTCTTCAAACATCTGAATGCAACTTTCATGTCTAACTATAAGAGTAACTTAAAATTTTTAACAGCTATATCAAATGGTTATTTCATATTAAGCTTTTAACTGACTCTGTCTTCTTCCTGGTCCCCCTTTCCCACCCCAACTGTGAAATTTTATCAGACGAACTGCTATCAAATTGAGTATCCCCTATCATACCCATGTACTGTTTGTGTTTATGGCTAAAGCAGAATTTTATAAGATCAATTAACTGCTGTTAATTGATCTTGTTTTCAGCTCAATGTTCCAGATGATCTTTTCTCTTGATTCTGTCATCCTTCTAGAATTGAAGACAAAGACAGAACCCCTATGGCCCTCCGTTAGTCTCCTTCAAGAATGTTTCCAAAGTGCCGACTTTGCTACTGTTTTTCAATTAGTTACAAATCCATTTAGTTTTTATTTTAACCAGTTCACATTTTAATATCTTATCTGAAATCAAGCTATACTATAACATGCCCAAACCAGTGTTTGCTAACCCTATCAAAAAAACCACTGACAAACCAGTGTTGCTAATCATATCAAAAAAAGAAACCAAGGATATTTAACATGATTTATTCTAATAAGAGATTTTCCTTATTGCCTTTTAAATCTTCACAAACCGTATATATGAAAACTATGCTCTACAATTTTGCTGAGTCAATAGCAAAATGACTTCCTGATTTCTAAAACCCACATTTTTACTTTTTGACAATCACAACACACTCTACTTTCTTTTGGTATTTACTCCTTACGATTTCTCAGAAATTTTATCCATTAAGTTTCTTCAGCACTCCATGACTACTTTGCATAGAACTGCATATTTTAACTACCATAAAAGTGCCAAAGACCATCCCCTTTCAGTGTTTTGCAAACTAAAAGTACAACCATTATAGTGTAAATCAGATAATCTACATTAGGAGAGCATCATATTCTATGCCTTCCAACTGACCTTGAGTTTTATTATATAAATTTCCAACAGAATATTTTTTTTTTGCTCCTCCCTCTCCAGATACTAATCTCACACTAATACTTATAGTGTAACTCTTCCTTTCAATTACCAATATTAAGTTTCAAGCCAACTGGGCTTAAGTATGCCAACAGCTTAGGTAATTTGTTGTTAACCTCCATACTATATGTTAATTATAACACTCAAAGCCCCAAAGTATTGTTGTTCAGATTTCTTATAATTTCCACTTATAAGTAGTATTCCACCTCTATGATATATTTTCCTCTAATTTCTTTTCTACCACAGTACTTCTTGAGTTTCATCTTTGTTTTTCTCCCTACCTCCCTCAAAAGTGAAGTAGCACTCAATAAATTCTTCTGCTAGCAACCTCAGGGTTTCTAAAATTTAAGACCACGAAAAGTGGGTTATTACAGAACTAGGATGTCAAATAACTTTAAGAATCAAAGACAAATGACAATATGCAGATTACAAAAAGTACTAATATCTCACTTTAAACTCCCCAAAGCAATCTGATAAAATAGATGAGACTTCATTTTACATAAAAACCTTAAGAAAGTTTATTGTGGTTTCAAATGTTAAGTATTTTTACCATCTCAAAGAAAATAATCTAAAATATAGTAGTTCCTCAAACAGCTACACTCAATCTATATGATAATCAATAAGTACCAAGCCAAAAGAAGTACAAAAACTACATAAGGAAACAGTATAATACTATCATTATCTTCTAAAATGGCTCAAAAGTTTTAGCTTCTCTTCATAACAATACTATACAATAGTCAACTAAGACAAAAATGATACACGAATGTTACGTTTGCCTTTTCAGTATGAAAGAATACTATCTCCAAAAGTGTAATGTTTTTGAAACTTCTTTTTATTATTAAAAGAAGTCACAGCTTTGGATAATGACATATTAATGTAGCTTCATCAGTTATAACTAATCTAGCACTATGGTGGAGGAATGTTGACAATGGGGAGGCAATGCATGTCTGGCAGAAGGAACAACCTAAATCTGCTCTTCAAAAAAA